TCCCCATCCCCGTTAAAATCCCCGTCCCGTCCCCGATAAAATGTCCCCGAACCCGGCCCGAAAGTTTCGGTTTTCGGTTTTCACCGTCGGTTTCGGTTTTTTTTGCCAACCCTAATGAAACTTTCCAAGAAATAACCAGTTTCAATATGACACGTGGAATTAGATTATAATTATATCGTTTCCAATCTCCCAAAGGAGTCAAAAGTTGAACACAAAAATTAATTGTCACAGAACCCAAGAGATGGTAGGCCGAGAAGTTGTTCCATATCAAATTGCTTTCACATTTACTCACAAAAAACACTGCAAAAAAGCTATTTTTAGAAATATAGTTAATTTCATATACTTTATTTTAAAATAAGGAGAAAATTGTATCAAAATAAAATCAACTTTTACTTAATTTTTATTTTAGAAAATCAATTTTTAAAATCGTTATTTTAGGGAACCAACTTGCACCTGATTTTATTTTGAGGAACCAATTTACAAAATAATTATAGAAAAATAACTAAAATTCGTTTTTTCCAAAAACTAATGCAATAAAATCTATTTTTCATTTCAAAGCTCGTTTTTTTTTTAAATTCAGATATCGAATTAAACATTTAAAAAAAATCAAAATTACCACAATAAAAATTATTTTTTACTAATGCAAAAAAAAATCAATTTAATAGAAAAAAATAAATTGATACGGATTGGTTAGATATAAAAATCTTGAATGTAATATTTAATATTTATTTTTTATTGCATCAATTAAATTTTTTCTATTAAATTGATTTTTTTTGCATTAGTAAAAAACAATTTTTATTGTGGTAATTTGGAATTTTTTTTTTAAATGTTCAATTTGATATCTGAATTAAAAAAAACGAGATTTGAAATGAAAAATAGATCTTATTGCATTAATTTTTGAAAAAAACGAATTTTAGTTGTTTTTCTATAATTATTTTGCAAGTTGGTTCCCCAAAATAGGAATTAGGTGCAAGTTGGTTCACCAAAATGACAATTTTGAAAGTTGGTTCCCCAAAATAGGAATTAGGTGCAAGTTAGTCCCCCCAAAATGATGATTTTAAAAGTTAGTTCCCCAAAATAGGAATTAGGTGAAAATTGGTTACATTTTGATGCAATTTTCCCTAAAATAAGTATCAACTTTTAAAAATAAGTCTATTTTTTATTTTATCTTTATTTATAAAATAGATAAAATATATTTATCTATAATTAAGGGTGAATTTTTCATTTTGTAGGTTAAATAGTGTAATGATTACATATTGTATTCTTTTTTTAATTGTAAACATTTATTTTGGAACGAATGGAATAAATTATAAGAGCATTTGGATCAAATGACTTATAATTTCTTGAAGAAAAAAGGTTACAAAACCTAACGAACATTCTGAGAGTTAATGATTAAATTTCTGAACATTTTTTTGAATAAATATGCTATCGATTTTTTAGAAAGTGGTTACTTATGTTATTTTAATTCAAAAAAGCTATTTCTAACCGACTATGAAGGTCTTAGAGTGAGAAAAACCCAAATAAATTTTACCACTTCCTGCCCCATTCAAACCTTTCACCTAACAGCTTCCCTCGTTGCCCCCGTCGACATCTGTTCTTCGTTTGTCTATTGCCGTCGTTGGCTCCTGCCGTTGATCTCCCTCTCTTTGATATTTTTCTTGTTTTTCGATTCTCTCTCTTTTACAATAATTTATCGTAGTACATTTAGACAAATAAAAAAATAATGAATATTGGAAAAGAAAAATAAAAATAATAAAAAAGATGGAGATCGATGACAAGAGTCAGCAGTAGTGAAGGGCAATGATAGAGTGGATGACAAGGGGTGGCGAGCAGGAGCAATGGCGTTGCATACAAGGGGGAGTAATGGCATTGGGTGTGAGGGATTCTTATGATGTAGAGTTTGAAAGCAATAATATTGATTTAGGTTTTTTTTTACTTTAAAATCCTTCCTAACCAGTTACAAGTACTTTTTTTGGATTACAATGATGTAGGTAACCACTTTCTAAAAGTTCGATGATTTATTTATTCAAAAATTGTTCATGAACTTGATCAATTAAAATGAGAAAGTTTAATACATTTTCATTCAAATAAAAGTTCAGACTTATGGGTCGTTTACCAAACGTTTATCCGGGTAAGTGTTTACCGGCAAAATTCAACACTATTACTTACCTACCGAGTAAAATTTTAGTTCACCAGAATAGTATTGTATACAACAACCGTGATAAGAATCGTCGCTCTTACTTACCAGATAAGACTCTCGGTTCTTGCCTTTACTCTTACCAAGTGAGATTCTTGGTTCTTACCATATTTATCAGTTAAGATAATGTGACTTGATAAATACTTATCTAAATAAGTATTTAGTAAAGACCCCCTCAATGAAAATATAAAAACTCGTTGGATTTTTCTAAACTTTTTTCTTTCTTTAAAATACATAAGTAAAGTTGAAAAAAAATTAATTTTTTTTACGTTTATTTCATTGGTTTTTCTATTATAATATTTTAACATTTTAAATTATATTTTTAAAATACTGTAATAGATATAATATTTAAGATACTTTTAAATAAACTATATATAAATAATAATAATTTAATTTAATTAATAAACAATAAAATAAATATTTCTTTTTTCTGCGTTTAATTTTAAAAATTACTCTAAACTTTTTAGATTTTTATTTTATCTGTCCAACTTTTTATTTAAGATAAAGTCTTGAAGAATCTGTCGAAGTAAAAATTAAATTTAATCTTCAAAATCTTTATTTTCTTCATTTCACATAAAATTATTGGAGATGCTCTGACTAGTTATGTATCTATATCGTATTACGCAATGTGATGTGAAATTTTATTGTAATTCGATAATAGAAAATTAATACAGTTCCTGAACTAAAAGAATTTGAAATTTAGGCAGCATCTTGTCATATTAATAGGACTGTAAGGGTACTCGCGCAATGCACTGAGATACATCTTGATTTTAATATTTCATTTTATTTTTTATCTCAGTCGATGTTATAATATGGTCTTATGTGATTTAAAAAAAAACGTTGATGTTTTTATTTTTCAATAAAATATAAATTTGAAAATATCATAAAAATTTGACAAAAATATATCAATATTAGTATCAAATTAACTATTTAAAATTCTTCATTTTTTTGTGTAATTTTTTTAATTCAATTGTTTTTTTATAAATTAATTTATGTTCAATAACGAAGTAATTTATATTTGGTTTAATAATATAATTTTTTTATAAAGATAATAAATAATTATTTTGTTAGAACTCGATAATTATTCTAATTATATATTAGATTTTTTATATTTTAAAATGAGATGTTTATCCTCCATTTGATTATGTTTATCCGCAGTTAATTACACGAATTCAAACATGAAACTTTAATAAGTTTATTCATAATTACTTGTAATCTTGAATTTTAAGTGATATGCATGAATAACCAATACTTCATGCATAAAAAAATAGTTTTTAAGAATTTTTATCAAATGCTTTATAATATAGTATAGATTATTCAAACTTGTCTATCAATTATATAATGATATTCAAACGTGGAGATTTAAGGATTTGTATGCATGTTGTAATAAATGTGGTAAAACTTAAATTTTAATAGATGATAATGTATTCATAACCCGTACCGATACTTAAAAAATTCTCTTCAAACGTTTTTACCAAATGTTATACAGTATAATATATATATATATATATATATATATATTTATACTTGTATCATATAAGTTGTACATTGTTTGGAATTTGATCTTTAAGTCATATAATAGACTTTTTTTTGGCGAAGTTGCTTAAGGGGTGTCTGGATGTATTTGCAAATGATTATCATGATATTTATGGTTTCTAATCCGATCACTGTAAAAAAATATTAAAATAAGGATAGTTATGTAATTTCGTTTATACTGTCAAAATCTATAGCCAATTTCTTTATTACCATCGAGAGCCAAGATTCGTTCATGATGACTTACAAGTAATAGATTTCAATTCCATTTATGGTATCTGTCGTAAATTCTGAAGGGGCATTAATTGATGAATTCATAGAACTTTCACCAGTTTAGATGATGGTTTACACGATACAAATAGTATGATTTCAATATAAAAAAGATAAAATTTCATTTTATTTATATAAATTTTTTAAATTAAATACATAAAATCAATCATATACTTATTTGATAACGCTAATAATCATGGAGATTTAATTAAAAAAAAAACTAAAAAGACAAGAATAAATTAATAAAAAGAATTTTTATATTATATAATTGAATTAAAACAAACAAAATAATACTTCATTTATACCAAAATAAATGTTTATAATGAAAATGACATGGTTTTAAAAATGTTTAATTAATACACTTTTTAATAACTTAATAACTTTTTTACCCTTGATAGTAGAGATGGTTTTTTTTACCTCCAAATAATTAAGGGTAGAATGGGAAAATAGAAACTTACTTTTGAAAGTTAAGACATTTATTTTTAAACAAACTAATGGGCTGTTTGGCAACTGCTGAATAGTTTGGTGCATAATGATTAAGAGTCTTTCATGATATAGTGCAAAATAAAATATAATTGTTTGGTAATTGTGTACAATGAAATTAGGGCTCTTAATGGTTAAGGGAGATTTAAGATACAAAATCATTCAGAGGGTTTTAGAACCATTAAGAGACAGACTTTTTTTGTCAAACAAAATTCACCTCTTAACGATTTAGAGGTTGCCTCTTAATGAAACTATTAAGCGGTAAACAAACAACCTCTAAATACAAATGTGAAAATGAAAATGACTTGGAATGGGAATACGAAAGATTTTCATTCCCCTCAGTTTAACCAAAATAAAAATTTAGACTAGGAAAATTAGCCCATTATATATTATAAAAAAATCAAACAATTTTTTAATATTAAGGAGCCGTTTACCAAACACTTACCCGGTAAGTGTCTATCGATAAAGTTTAACATTATTAATTACTTACCGGGTAAGATGTTAGTCCATCAAAACAACATTGTATGCAACAATTCACCCGGTAAGCGTTTACCGTGGTAAGAGTCGATCACCCTCATTTACCGGATAAGACTCATGGTCCTTGTCTCATTCTTACCGGATAAGATTCTTAGTCATTATCATATTCATCTAATGAGATAATGTGACTTAATAAACACTTACCTGAATAAGTGTTGAGTAAACGACCCCTAAATTATATAATAACTGTTTAATACATTTAATTAAACATCCATTAATTTGGGACGGAACTGAAAGAGTGTAACCGGATGGTCCGCAAGATATAATTATTTTTGTTAAATATATGATTAAAAAAAAAGGAAAAGAATAAAAGTAACAAAAAAAATCGTGATCACTAAACCCGATAAAGAGAAAAGGTTAACGGGTTTAGAATCATCTAACAGATCTGTAACGATTAACGATAAAAATAAACAAATGAAAAGGTGACCCTTACCCGACCCGAACCCAACCAACCGACACCCCACCATGAACAGTCCGGATATGGCGCCTTAACTGCCGTTGGGACCCACAAAAAGACCCAATGGCACGACCGTAAATAACTCAAATAACAGAGGACTGAAATGGAAATTAACCATCAGAGGGCAGAGGCTGTGGTGTTATCTTTTTTTAGCCTCATTATATACCGATGTGAGAAGCCCACAGTCCTCACACTGTGGAACTCTAACTCTGTAAACCAGTGTCGGCATTCTCTCTTTCTCTGTGTCTAAATTGTTTGTAATTCGTACCTCGTGTACTCCGCCACCGGCCGGTGATCACTCCGACACGGTGGTTGTGGTTTTTGTTTTTCAACGATGGTGCTCATGACATACAATTTGAGCGATTCCGGTTGCTACAACAGCCGCATTGGCCGGATATGTTTTGTTGTGATGTGGTGGTTCGTGTTTCAGTGTCTGGAGATCTCCGGTGCGCCGCTAATGCATTCCGTCAGCTCACATTGGCGTCCGGCCACCGCGACGTGGTACGGGAGTCCAGAAGGCGATGGAAGCGATGGTAATTTGCTTGATTTCTGTTTGATTAACATAGGTAGAATCGTTTTAGGTAAAATAGAGTTATTCTGCGTGCATTGTTGAGTTGTACATTTCTGTTCATATTGTTGACTGTTGAAGCTGCGTGAGTGATTCTGATTGTGATTCCACTCGCACAGGTGGCGCGTGTGGTTACGGATCTCTGGTGGATGTGAAGCCATTCAGGGCGCGTGTAGGTGCGGTGAGTCCAATTCTGTTTAAAGCAGGTGAAGGATGTGGTGCCTGTTATAAAGTCAAATGTTTAGACAAATCTATCTGTTCTCGGCGCGCCGTAACGGTGATAATCACCGACGAATGTCCCGGCGGTTATTGCTCCGGCGGAAACACTCATTTCGACCTCAGCGGGGCCGCCTTCGGTCGAATGGCGGTCGCCGGTGATCACAACCAGCTTCGTAACCGTGGCGTACTTAACGTCGTCTACCGCCGGTACTTTCTCATTCCTTTCGCGGCTTTAGTTATTTAACGGTCTTCTATTTCTCTTCTTCGTCGGTTAGTATTCAGATTTTTATGGGAACAAATTATATTTAGCTAATAGTCCTCGATCATTTTATAAATGTTCATAAAGCACCCTAACTATTTAAAAATGAAACATAAATCCCTCAACTCTTGACAATTGTCAAATCAATATAATATCCTTGTGTATTTGCATAAAATTTATCTTTATGTATTTACATAATTACATGATGCTCATAGAGTGGTATCTCACTGATGGCTCAGACCCTCCTGAAAGGAGATCTTAAGATTTCCAAGGTTTAGCACTTAAATTCCTGACTCTATCCGTGATCATGACTCTGTAATCATGTTTATTCGTTATCTTTTTATTTGTTATCATACAAAACCCTTCACAACCAAACAATCTTTTTAATAAAACTAAATCAAATCAACATAACTTAGTATATTTCACTTGAAGGTGGGATCTAAGAAATGTTTACCGAAGAGCTGACATCTATTTTAAAGAGTAGGGTATATATTTCCGTGGAAATCCTTCAAAATCTAAAGTACCATTGACTTGAAGGACAAGACATTATGAGTATTGCATTTTAATTATCACGTAAATTGTAGGACACCCTGCAAATACCCGGGTAGAAACATTGCGTTTCATGTTAACGAAGGATCAACGAATTACTGGCTTTCACTTTTGGTCGAATTCGAGGGCGGGGATGGTGACGTTGGATCAATGCACATCAGAGAGGTACGTTTCTTTCTGTATAATTTGGTATTATCTAAAAGAACATTTTCTGCATCTGGGTTCGATGGCAAATATATGAATATATAATAAAAATAGGAAGATTGAAATGGAGATATATAATTTAAAATGTTACGTGACAAGTAGTGGGGTTATAAAATAATTACATCCAAGAAAGACGAATAAAGAAAGATGTGATTTGTGAATCCAAACTTTACCAAGTGTGAGAGAGTAGTGGGCAGATGGGCAAAATAGTCAAAAGGACGTACTTTTTGATTCAGCTTTTTAAAACACACACAACACACACTTGCATAAAAGAAGCAAGGAGAAATCCGAATGTGTCGGATACAGAATATTCATACTTTTGGTTCTATGTCCATCCTTTACAGCATCTGGTACAACTTCACCAAATCATTGTTTGGTTATTTTGGGGTTTTTATGTCATTTTGGGTGTCATATTATCTAATAAAGAAAGTCATTATTTAGTTGTTACCGAATTGATCAATTAGATGACAATGTAAAATAACTTCAAAGAAAAAGCTAGCTTATAGTTGTCAAATCTGATAATTTTATGCTAACAGTTATTTTAAATATAAAACAGGCGAAGTCTACCGAATGGTTAAAGATGAGTCATGTATGGGGTGCAAATTGGGTGATCGTCCGTGGACCCCTAAGAGGGCCATTTTCCGTCAAGCTCACCACGCTTTCTACCGGAAGAACTTTGTCGGCACGAGATGTCATTCCCGGCAATTGGGCTGTCAAAGCCACTTATACGTCCCGTCTTAACTTCTCCCCTTAATCGTAAAAGGGTAATCAACTGATCGAAAGGTTCAACGTTTCGTAAATGAAAAAAAAAAAGGAAAAAAAACATGTTTTGACATTGAGAAATAAGAAGAAAGCAAATCCCTATATTACCCTTACCATCCCGGGGTCAAAGAGGTAATTTTAAGCCTGAGGCCCATCACACCGGAAGTAGCCGTTAATCGGTTGGTTGGTTGGTGTTTTTTGTGGCGATGGGAAAAAGGAGAAAAGTAACCGTTGGGAGTGTTTGACTTTCTATTATGTGTTGTGTGTAAGGGGTTGTATTGTAATTTAATGTAATGTTTGAGGGTATCTTGCAGCCCCTCTCCAAAGGGAGAGAGAGCGTGCTTTTTCTTTTTCTTTTTCTTTTTAATATTAGGGTGTGAGGTTGTGGAGGGTGTTTTGGTCTTTTTAAGTAGGCGTGGGCTTGGCCTGGCCTTTTGTATGACTTGGTTGTTGCATCTTTGGATTAAACGGAACCTTTCGCATCCTTTCTTGTATTCTCACATTTTTTTTCTCAAATTAATATTTAAAAGTAAAATATATTTTTGGTTTATATAGTTTTCCGATTTAATTTAATTTTTTGTTATTACAGTTTAAAAGCTATAGTTAGTCATTGTGGTTTGTAAAAAATGCTCGGATTTGGTCGTTTCTTTTAACGAATGTTAAATAACTCGTTAAGTCAGGGTGCTTTGGACTTTTGTCATTTTCCTCTATTCTTTTAAAAATCAAAAATATGTAATTAATTTATATTAGTTATATAAAATATAGTATACATATAGGGATGAGATGGGAATATAACTCTGGAAAAAAAAAGAATCGAATAACTTAACCAAATCGTTAGATTCAGATGATTATAACCACTTGATATGATTTAATAGTGATTATAACCACTTAAAAGAATATAAATATTTCTTAAATTTTTAATCGGAAAATCAGTAAAATACAAAAAAATAGGAGCAAAATAAATTGGGCAAATTGTATGAAAAAGTAACGAACTTTAACTTGATTCCTATTTTGGGTAACGTACTTTCAAAACCTTCATTTTGGTACCTAAGATGTAAAACTTTAAACTCTTAAGTACTCGGGTAACCCGGTGAAGACTAATTTTAGACTAAAAAAAGACTAATTTTAGATTCAAAAAAATCCATGTCACTGACCACGTCAACAAATAATACCGAATTGGATAACACATCACTTGTTACATCAACATGATAATCAGTTAATACTTCAACAAGTTACCTGGTACTTAAATGTTTAAAACTTTACATCTTTGATACCAAAATGGAAGTTTTGAAAGTATGTTACCCAAAATAGGAATCAAGTTAAAGTACGTTACTTTTTCATGCAATTATACCAGAAAAACGATCAAGCTATTATATTTAATTTGACATACATTTTAATATATTTTTTCTTCCGTTTTTTCATTGTTCTCCGGCTCTTTCTTGTTCAAGGTTTTCTCTGGATCTTTTCCTCTCTCTCTCTCTCTCTCTCTCTCACACACACACACATGTATGCATGCATACATACATACATGCATGCATGCATACATACATGCATGCATGCATACATACATGCATGCATGCATACATACATACATACATACATACATACATACATATATATATATATATATATATCTTAAATTTATAAAGTAAGATACAAAATTCAGTTAAACAAAATCATTCTTTTAACATTATTCAAAACAAAATTTTCAATCAAATCATCATAATCGACTTTCTTCAATAAGCCATTAAATTGATTTATCTTATGTACGGAATTTACCAACTACTGTTTACCTCATGTTCTCAATAAACCCTAGCTCGATTTTCGAGGGTCAAATTCTCCCTCAACTCTCAACTTTTTTGCATGTTTTCATATGGCTTTAGTTATATGAATAATGTCGATCAATATCATGATGAACAAAATTAACAAAATTGTAGGCGTGGTTACTCGTCGAACAAGAAATACAGAAAGATTATTAAATAGGGTCATGTTTGGTGCTTCAATCATAAAATGAGCCATCAGGAATATAAAGATGAAACTTAACAACTAGGAGAGTTTAACCATCAAATTAGAGAGTTAAGTAGATGGGATTGCAAATTTGCAGCCGTAAATAGGAATTGACAAATTGCCCAATATGGTAGAACAAAGAAAAACTTGGGTATTGAGCTACATATTAAAACATTATAATTGCCCAAATGGCTAAAATAAGAGGGAGAAAGTCAAAATGATTGTGATAAAAATTAAAATAAATATATAATTGGGCCCTAAAAAATCCAGGGGATCCAAAAAATTTGGGTGCCTTGTTCAGAATCTCATATTGGTACACCATCCGACGTAGCCTTACCTACAATCATCACATTTTCCAGAAATTGTAAGTTTAAAACGCATGCATAATGAACATGTATAATGACATTCAATTGTTAACACATACTTATAATTACCTAGGTTTCAGTTATCAACATGTTCAAACACTTGTCATGTTAAGAAACGTACATGATCACCTATGCAGTGTAAGCTTAAAACAGATACAGTAAAAAGAGCAATTAGTAACTTTAAAATACAGAAACTTTAGCAAATGTTCATATATGAACACAACATATTACGTCCCTACCAATAGATCAACATAAGAAAATCTAAACGGCTTACGTTTCATCAACGAAAAACTAAAAAAAAAATCAGAAAAGAAAAAAAAACTAATTCATAAACTTTACCATTAACATTATCGGTATGATTCTAGGAAAACAGAATTACAAGGACGGTTAATAGTATCATCCTGTTGAAAAGATATATTTTCCAGCCCCTGAGACTCAACAAATTTGCCTATCAATGGGGACTTCAATTGCGAACAGTTCTCACTCATGGGACAACACTCCATATCATTCAACGCATCAGAAAAGATGCTCTCGTTTGTACCAAATGAACTGCTATTTATTTCTTGATTATCCATTGATGGAACAACATCACTACCAAACTCCACGTTAAAGACGACGACATTTATTGAAAAGTAAAAAAATCACGTAAATCACTAAAATATATCAACACAAAAAGCTACATAATTATCTATGAGATAATTAAGGAAATGAAAAATGAAACCCTTTTATATAAAAAGCTAAAAGTACCAATATATCCTTGTTGCCTTTACAACATGGAATGAAACCAATTTGATTGATGAATTTTGATTGGTCAATGGAGATTGTTAGCATTATTTTGATGCTAACGATGTTCTTAAAAGTTTTATTAAGCAATCGGAGCTAAGGAAATACACCTGAAGATGGTGCTGCGC